CCCCCTAGCCGTCTCTCCCCTCCAGCAGCCGCCCCAACTCCCGTCTTCCCCTCCACAGCTGAACACTTCCCTTCCCCCTGCACATCTCCTCCTCCACCACCAAACAACCCCCTTCTCTTTCTCCTCCACCAGCGCCACCAACATCCCTCTTCTTCTCCTCTGCGGCCCTACTGATTCCCCTCCTGCACTCCTCCCTTCCGAGCAGCCCCGCCAACCTCCACAAGTTGCCCCGCAACCCTCAAAGAGGCCGCCAACATCCTCTGCTTCCCTTCACCCTGGAGCAACCACACCGAGAACCCCCTATTCCTCCTCCACTTCCGAGCAGTTCCGACGCTACCCGCGTCCTCCCGTCATCCGTGCATCCAGCCATTGTGTGTCGTCGCCTCGTCGTCATCAGATCTCCGCCTCGTTCGTCGCCGATTCGAGTTCTGATTTTGCGGCCCATTGGTGCATGGCCGATCCCGCAACCGAAAACGCTCAATTTTTGTAATGATCCAGAGACCGACGTGATCGATTTGCAGCTTTCTCAGTGGTTCGACTACCAACCTTTTGATACCCCAACAAGATACGTCGATTGCGTAACTCCCCAGATTGCTGATAACGTGGAGTCATTTGGGAATCAGTTCGTAGCACCGGCATTTCTAACAAGACGCACAACTTCACCCCAGCTACATAGCTCTCAGAGAATTCTCCCCTTATATTTGGCGTCATCACACCACCTTCAGAGGTCCCTCATGTCGAGCCTGTTCAGACCGCGAATGTTTCGTTTTCTTTCGATCTAGTATTTTAGGAACTGCTATCACGTGCATGTTATTATCAATTTTAATATCAATTACGATTGTGTTGTATTCTGCTTGATTAGTAAGCGAGTGACTCTGTTTGCCACATATCTCTGTTGATCTAAATATTACAAGTCGAACTTTATTACGAGAACGAATCATTATATTTATTTTTTGAATAATTTACAAGACCGTAAATTTAGTACATTGCAATCTTTGTTAAACCCATCTAGAGCTTCACTTTCTTCTCGAGTTTCCTGCCTAGATCGATCGCTGATTTGGTGAAACATTACTGTCGTTGTTCTTCATACCTGCATGCACATTGTTTCACATCATTTTTGGTATCAGACCGTGGTTCTAGGTTAGGAATTTTTTTAAGTTTAATTGAGTCTTTATTTGTTATAAAAAATATATTTATCATTCATCTCATTTAGTTGTTAGTGCATGCCCACTCGCACAGGTCTACCCTATCGATTAGGAGAGTCTAGTGAATCGTCTAGTAAGTCCAGCATGTCAGGCAGTACAGATCCCGAACTCCTTAAGAAATTCGAAGAGCTAACAGGACAACTAGGTGCCGTAGTCTAGGAGTACAGAGCTATTTGTGAGGCCCTGACAGACTTCCAAAATGTAACCAACGAAAGGTTCGCTAGAATCGAAGAAGCACGTGTTGCAACTCCACCGCCGCAACGTCAAGGTTATGGACACATCATTCATCGACCCCCACATCAACCTGTGCCTGATCCAGATGAGCAATACCCGAGGAGCATCAAGGTCGAAGCACCAACCTTTGATGATAAGCTTGACCCACAAGCTTTGTTAGACTGACGGAAGAATATGGATCGCTAGTTTGACTGGTACATCCTGACGGAATCACGAAAAGTCAAGTTTACAGCAATAATGTTACAGAAGACGCTAGGCAGACTAAACGTTTGAGCGAGCACCTAGTGCCTAGACCCCTAGGCGTAAGTCTAGGCAACGCCTAGGCGTTTGACTATTTTTAAATTATTTAATTATAATAATTAATAAAAATATGTATTAAATTCATATAAATTTTTAAAATAAGATAGCAATCTTAGTTCCACAATAAATCATGCATACTTAGATACTAAATAACCAAAATAATAATTAATAATGCTAGAGCCTAAGATGTTTTTTTAAATTATAATAATTGATAGTGAATGTTAACGTTATAGAAAGCTTAAATGTCGGACTGGTGTCTAGGCGGATTTCTTTCTTTATTTAAGTGGTAGTCGATGAGGTTTTGCTGAAGGTCAGAGGAGATAGTGGAGGTGTTCATATTTAGAGGTTAATGGAGTTTGGAGGACATATAGGCTACAACACATAAAACCACAACCAAGGCATATAATGTGCAATCCACGTAAGCAGACAATGCTACCCTAAACACTCGTAAAATCTAAATGGGAAGTCTAAATACCGCCTAGGCACTAGGCGTTAGTTAGGCGGCCTAGGTACCGCCTAGGCCTAGGCGTACGTCTAAGCGGACTAGACGGGGGTTTTTAAAAACAGTATGCAACAATGAAGCTTACTAGACTAGCCTGCCAATATTGGTCTAACCTCGAAACGTTACGACATATTAGAAGTGGGTTACCAATTTTAACTTGGCGAGAAATGACCGATGAGCTAAAAAGAAAATACCTCCCGCCATCGTTCTATCAAAGATTGGTAGACAAGTGACATCGACTTACTCAGGGAACTAAATCTACGAAAGAATATG